TATATATATGATACAAAATTAACTAACTTTGACTTATATACTCAATGTGTTGATTCGAAATAACCATGTTCAAGTTGATGATGATGAAGACACGGTTCAAGTATAAAGTAGTGCAGCGGACCGAGAATATATACGATTCTTTACGAGATGAAAGATTTGAGCATTTAATGTAGAATATGGAATGAATGCTTTAAAATAAACTCTTATGTGGTTGTATGGATTAAATTTCAATGTTGTGAAACTAGAATTATTCATCATGTCTTTTTAAGTTTAAAAAATATATACTTAAATTTCAATTTATTAAAGACATCATGCATATTTTAGAAACATACAATCATTTTTTTTGGAAACGCAGACGTTTAGTCTACATGTTCTTCTACAACAAATGTGATATGTAGACTTGAAAACATTTTACATTTTCAAAAACGAACAAGAGAATGACCTTAGTGGCGCATATTATCTAGATTTAGTCCTTATCTTTTGGTCTTCTGATTCGTCAAATTCTTCTTTGTGTCGATTTCTCTGTGTTGTATTCTCCTTTGTGCTCACAGTTCAGTAACAAATAAGGGAACCAGAGAATGTAAGTTTTTCATTCAAATTGAACAACTTCTACTTGTTTGTTGCTTTTAGGATTGATTAGGGATGCATGATTTAGAGTCAAAAATCTTATTTTGTAATCTTTGCATTTCTTGTATAATTCAAATTGTAACATTATCGACCTCTTTCAAACTTTGATGATCGATTGGAAGGTATTAAGTAAATTTATTAGGATTGATATTACAGGTTTACACTGTAAACTAAACTTACTGGTACACATTTTCTTTTTCTTTTTATCTTTTCGGTTTTATTTTTCATCACACATCGGTTCCCCTATTATTGTAATCTTTCCACAAGGGCAAACAACACTCCTCAAAAAAGATGGAGACAAGGAGTCGAGGACATGAGAAGATGGCACAAAAGATGACGATTCAAAGAGGGGAGAATGGTTGTAATCAGCAAGAAGAACTAAAAGGAAGTGGAGATTTTATTAACTGGATCAAGGAAAAGGGAGTACGGAGTTTTCTTGGCGATAAAAGAAGTTGAGGTAGAGGTATTTTTACACATTGGCTTGACAAGTAAAGCTTATATGCCGTTATAGCTAAAAACTAACGCCTTTTAACATGTTTAACGGTTTTAGATTAATTCATTGTATGATTTTGTTTCATTTGAAAAGGTTAGTGTTACATATTTTGTATAAAAGTTAAGAATGTTGCATAAAATAGGGAAAAAAAACCTTATTGCATAAATAAGTCATTTGCCCAATTGAATAAATGCAAAACTTTACATAAATGAGCATTTAACCCTTTCTTTTCATGCTATCAATATATCTTCCAAAAAAAGAAAAAGAAAACAAACCTCTAGTCTAAACTTATCTATACCATCAATATACCTACCTATGTATCTACATCCAAAGACAAAATCCTAAATTATCACAAATCATTATCGGAATTACATGGGTCTATTAACAAAAAGATAGAACTCAACAAAATCGTTGGTTTTACTTACTACATGTTGTCTGATAATTTTAATTGCAGAGCATTATAACGGCGTTGTGTTTGCTGCTTCATGCTTATACCTCTTTCCCCACATTTTAGCCTCTTCTATTGCTTTAGCTCTTTCATCCTCATCCTCCTCTTTCAACCCATCATTTTCATCATCACTTGAATCCAAATTTACAATCAATCCACTATTGCCATTCTGATTCCAATTCCGATTCCGATCTCCAACCATAACCGGATCGGAAAGAGACGCCACAAAATCCAACGCATCCACAACTTCACTCATATCCGGCCTTTTTTCTTGATCATTATTCATACACATCAACGCCACCTCCACAGCTTTCCTCACCGATCTTTGCATAAATTCCCCTTTCATCCTCGGATCCGCTAGCTTCACATACTTCCTTTTGTCAATCAACATCGGGTTCGCCTATAACAGACTTAATATAGTAAGCCATACATGACTATATATATTGACTTCATACAGAAAGAACTGACTTAACTTAACAGAGAAAGAAAGTACCCATTCGATAAGATATTGACCACCTTCTTTTGTGTCGTCTAATGCTTGTCTTCCTGTTACTAGTTCCAACAAAACCACCCCAAAACTGTATGTATCGGATTTTATGGTCAGGTGGCCTGTGAACCCGTACTCAGGTGCACAGTAACCCATTGTGCCCATCACCCGTGTTGATATGTATGATTTATCATCCAATGGTCCGAATTTAGCTAAACCCAGATCAGAAATCTTTGGGTCGTACCCTTCACCTAACAATATGTTGGCTGATTTCATGTCCCTGTAGATTATACGAGGTTCACAATGATTATGTAGGTAATCAAGGCCTCTAGCTGTTCCTACTGCTATTTTCATCCTCGTGTTCCAATCAAGTGGCTTCATATTTGGTCTGGGTTCTGCCCAAGAATCAAATAAAACGAAAACAATCATGTTGGTATGAAGATTAGTTAGTATTTGTCACACATGACAAGACTGGATAAACTTTCTTGATGAGGATGAAGAAATCATTGGAGTCTGTGTCCCATTGACGTCAGACTGTCATGTCATGTTCTGTCTGTCTTGTCTTGTCCTCCTCCAGAGACCATAACATTGAAAATGACATTTTACCATGTAGGTGTTTTTCCAAGGATCCCAAGGGCATGAATTCATAAACTAGAAGATGTTGGTTGCTTTCGGAGCAATATCCGATCAAGGTAACGATATTTGGGTGACACACGAGTGAAAGCATTGTGATTTCAACTTGAAATTCCTTATTCCCTTGCAAACCATCTTTATTGAGTTTTTTAACAGCCACAACCTGACCATTTAATTACTAAATTAAAAAGTTAAAATACACTTTAAAAAACTGAACAAATCGAAGTTGTTTACTTGGTTAGGGTTTTCTAGGTTTCCTTTATATACTTGCCCAAATCCACCTTCCCCGAGATAGCGATCATGCCTGAAATTATTTGTAGCCTTTACAAGTTCTTGGTAACTGAATTCCCTTTGTTTCTTTCCAATAGTGTTCAAAGGAGCATCCACCTGTTTTGTTTCTGACTTTTCTGTTGATTGATTAAGCAGATCGTTATCCACCTTTTGAACTGCATCTCAACACCATATATACAATCACGAATTCATATACTAATTTCCCTATAAATATCCTTCTAGCAACAGATCTTAGTATTTCTCATGTCAGATAATTCTTAAAAACTAAAGTTAAAACATACTGCATGCTTCCAGATCACTTCTAAGTTCTAACCCTAAATACTAATCAGATCCTTTACATCATTCAATCGAGCATATATAATAGGAACTTCGATAATTCAAAGTCCAATTCTTATAACAAACATGAATAAATCAACAATCGGTTCAATTTTATATCTATGCTTGGGTATTGACCTCCAATATATTAATCATCCAATTCAAAAACCTGATAAAGAGAAAAATTAAGACGTAGAAGAAATACATACACATATAGAGATATATATAGATATATATTGTGGGGAGACCTGTAGGAGTGGTGGCGGCATCTGGTGGCTTACAATCACGTTGTTCATCGGAAATGGCATTATCTTTGGGGTTAACTTTCCGGCGTCCGGGAAAACACAGACATGCTAATCCTCCCATCTTCAAACCCAATGTTCCAAGATGCATTTTCAACACCCAAATAGACCCACCAACACAAGACTGGTAAATCATACATGCAATGATTATACAGTTCTTGGGGTTTCTTACTACGAGAATTGCCTGGGAAAAATTTTACAACTTCAAAAATAAGCAAAAAATAGCTCCAATAATAGAAGTACATTATTAACCCGTGACACAAAGAATAATAACTAGATTTAACAAAAAAATCAATAGCAAGTTTAATTATTTTAAATATTTGGTATTAATCTCTTGAAAATAAGATGGAAAGTTCTGAATTTTTTTGTCTTTAGGTATTCATTTCCACTGATATAGATGTTAGGTTGTAAAAGCAATTTCACACACACAGAGTATAAATGCAAGAACGAAAAATAAGAACACAAGTCATGATTATTTCATATTAATTTACTATATCAATCGAATGATTCATTATTTATGTATCTTAGCACAAGAGGCATTGAGGAAGGGAGAAGGATCACTACAAAAGTCTTGATTATTTCAAAGAATGTACAAGAGGGAGATGTGGAGTTCAAAAAAAGGATAGGAGAGTATGGTGATTGGAGTAGCACCACTTCGTTCCATCATTCAGGAACATTAAACTCAAGCCTGTACAAATTTTCAAAGGAATAAATTTGACAAATCGACACCCCACTGTACAAAAATTTCAGAAAACAGAACTGATCAATTTTGGAACCTCACTGTAGTTCATAAAGGCAATGGCAATCAATGTGCAAAGACAAGGTCCAAGACCATAGTAATCCTAATCCATCAATAAAAAGTAGCACAAAATCCATCTAATGCAAATCAAAGGGTGCTGATGGCATGATGCCTATTTGAACTGCCTACGACTTTGCACAAAATGAAGCATACAACCAGGATCAATATTAAAGCCCAAAGTACAACTGGTGAAAGAATGAAGAATAGAAGAATGACGAACCTGATTAGCAAGAGAGACAAAATCAAACTTCAGAAATCATACCTGAATTGCAAAATTCCCTGAAGTGGAAGGCAGAGGTGGTGAGATGGTTGGGGTTCGATGATGTGCCTGTGTGCGAGAGGTACAGGAGAGACAAGGGAAAAAGGAAAATCGAAGGGAGGCGTGGAAGGCAAAGCCGCACGGTGGTGTTGTGGTGTTCGAGACGGGAGAGACAAGGGGAATAGGAAAATAGAAAAGAGGGTGGAAGGCGGCGCCTCACGGTGGTGCTGTGGTTGGACGGCAGTTGTTGCGGTGGGTGTCGCCGGCGGACGGGAGCTGCAGCAGCAGGGGTAAATTTTGGAGTTAGGGTTATTTGCACGTTCTTTCTACCGCTCAAGAAAAAGAAATGGGTCGGGTGTATAGTTGGGTCTGGTGGGTTAGGGAATAGGGAGTTCGATAAGTGGGTCATGTTTTAGCCTTTTGGGTAGAAGGGTGGGGCAAAGTAAATGGCTGATTTTTTTTTTTTCAGGTCCCGTTTTATAATTACTGACCCAGAGAGTGCTGATTCAGAAAGGTTTGTTTGGGTATGAAATCCTGATTGAATAAGAAATCATTGTGTTTGATTATACATCTAATAAAAAATGACAATTTTACCAATTGCTAAAGAATTAAAAAAACATACAAATTGTCATACAAAATATATTACACACAAATACTTTAAAAATTCAAATAAAAATTATAATAGGAATCATTGTTTTTTATAAAATTATAAATAAATTCATTGTTTTTCAGCAATTCAAACAATTCATTCATTTACCAAATTCACATTCATCAATCAATTTAAAAGATTGATAATCAGCCATTAATTTGAAGTTTAATAATTTTGTGTTACTTATGAGACATGCAACAAACACTAGCCATAACACTTGGAGCAAAAACATCAAATATTAAAAAGGAAAACAAATGATAAACTCATATGAATACAATCACATATAATCTGAATAACATTGAATTTTCAATCCCTGAAATAAAGTGATTGCATCTTGAATTTATAGAATAAAAAATAGAATAATAAGATCCAATATTATATCTACAATAGTCACACTACATCAGAGCTTGGAAAATCCAAGAACAGATGAATGGTCTAGCTCTTGTTGAACCTATAACTTTCTTTGATAAAAAATTAATTCATAACAAACTAAAGAACAATTGAATGATACTTAAATGCATACTCCAGGTTCAACCTAAATCATGATGTCACATAGGTTTTAATGGTGGAATGACCAATCATGATGTCATACTCCAGGTTCAACCTAAATCGATGTACAAGCAAATCAATTGAATGATACTTAAATGCATAAATTCCAATATTCATTGATTCAGATAGAACAAACCAACAGAAACAGGATAAAAAAACATAAAATAGATGGTCGATTTTAATTCATGGCATATAATCCAAAATTAAAGAACAATCCCAGATCGATTGACAGAGGAAGGGACATACCTATTTTCTCGATAGAAAAAGGAAGCGATGACATCGATGCACTACAAGAATATCGACCTTTAGCGGCGACACTATTACCGACGACAAATGCTAGAGTCGCCGCTAAAAGTCCATGTCGCCGGTAATAGTGTCGCGGCTAAAGGTTTATCACCCGAATCCGCATTTTCCCCCACTGTTAGATCCCAGCCC